TTTCCTTGCATGCCTTGTTGTTTTTACCTGCCTTTCAGCTGGTCCCTGGCTCTTGGCAACCCCATGTGTTACAGACTAGAACTGCTCCATAGGTTTCTATACAGAAGCAGATCACCAGACCTTTTTATTTGAAGACCTGCTGGATGGACTTGAACTGCCAGCCTTTTGGTTACTTATTGTGTGCTGTCAAGTTGATTCTGACTCATAGTGACCCTGTACAGGGTTTCCAAGGAGCAACTGGTGGATTTGAACTGCCAACCTTGTGGTTAGCAGTCCAGTGCTTATCCTACAACTCCACACCAGGAGTCCATGGTGGTGGTGGCTGTGTGCCGTAGAGTCGACTCATAGCGACCCTGTACAGGGTTTCCAAGGCTGTAAATCTTTACGGGAGCAGAAAGCCTTATCTTTCACCCGTGGAACAGCTGGTAGTTTCGAACTGCTGACCTTGCGGTTCACAGCCCGATTCGTAACCACAGAGCTACCAGAGCTCCTTAGTCAGTCAAAAAGAATTAGCACCTACTCAGGTGTTTTAAAATATGTCATGCATTTTTTTTTTCTGGATTAAATTGTTGTTTTCAACGTCATCTGATAATCTAATTCTCTTTCTGTATAAAAAACCATCTTTTATCTGTAAAGTTTAATAATTTTATTAGAAATGATTATCTTTCTGTATTTCTAATTCCTTTCTAAGATTTATTATCTCAATTCTGAGTTGTTCTAATACTGATTTATGATATTTCATATCATGTAAATAGTTTTCATTTCATGTGACTTCTTAATATATTTTAATTATTTTTAAAGTATTGTAATGTTCATCTATTTTTTGGTGGACATTTCTTTCTGGCATGTTTTCATTCTGCAAAGATATAATTTTGTTGCTCATCTACACATAAAATGAGTCTCCATGAGCTTTGTAGAAGTAGGCTTGATTTGGGATCATTTTTCTCCCCTGACTGCATGGCTATAGAGCTCCTTCTTCTATTGCTTTGGAGAATTGTTCAAAAATAAAGTAAATTACCTTCTGAAATCTCCTGGCCCTGGCCTTCTCCACTACTTTTATCTGAACTTCCTGTCTTATCCCTGTCCTGCTCAATTTAGTCTTTTTTCTGCTGGTTTCTCCTCTGAGTGGGGCTTTGTTCTGGAAAGGAGCTTTAGATGATTTGTTCTGAGAATTCGTGGGGCCCAGACTGTATCATGGAACCCTGGCACTCAATCACTGTTTATTGTTCAGAAATTCGCTTGCTAAGGTTTGATTGAGTTCCTTGTGATTTCCTAGGTCTGTCAGATGCCCTTTTGATTCCCTCTGCATATTTTTCTACAGCAGATACCATGTTGGTCTCACCAATGCATATTTTGGGGCTCATGGGGAATCCTTTTCATTTGGTTTTGATATACAGTATGCCCCTGGATGTTGGTTTTGCTTTCCTACTTGCCTTTCTTATGTTTTGTTATGGCGACACTTAGGGAGATTCAGAAACTAGGCTGCCACCACCTTCCTTCTAGAATTTCTCTCTGTAATAGGGAATCTGAAAATTATACTCTGGGGACCAAATCCTACCCTCTGCTTGTTTTTGTACAAACTGTATACTTAAATATATATATTTATAATTTTTTAAAAATACAAAAGAAGAATATTATTTCATGACCCATGAAAATCAAATTTAAGTGTCCATAAAATTTTATTAGAACACAACCACACGCATTTGTTTATATATTTTCTATGCCTGTTTCTATGATACACTAGCAGAGCTGACTTCTTGGCGAAAAGACTGTGCCTCTTTCTGATCCCTATCCTATAATTGCTCCATGAGAGAAAGATGAGACTTTCTGCACCTGCAAAGATTTAAGAAGCCGATATCCTATGCAGATTACCAATGGGTTGAAACTGCCTCTGTGGCATTTAACAACAACAACAACATCCTATAATAGGGTAGGATAGACACTGGATTGCTAACTTCACGGTCAGCAGTTGAAATCCACTAACCATTCCTCCAAAACCCTATATAGGGGTACTATGAGTTGGAACTAATGGGGGGCACAACAGTGAAGGAAGGACTCAGCTGCTAACTGAAAAGTTGTCATTTCGAGCTCACTAGCAGCTCCCTGGGAGAAAAGACCTGGCAATCTGCTCTTGTAAAGATGGCAATCTAGAACATCCTAGAGGGCAGTTCTGTTCTTGTGACTCTATGCTGTTGTCATCGTTAAATGCCATCAAGTCGCTTCCAACTCTTAAGGAGCAGCTGGTGGATTTGAATTGACGTCCTTGTGCGATCCAGTGCTTATCCTACGGTGCCACACCAGGACTCCATTGACCTTACAGCACCTAACAACAACAATCCTATAATATCCGTTTTTAATGCCTGAATAGTATTTGGTTGTGTGACTGGATTATAATGTACTTAACCAACTTCCATTATTGAGCATTTAGTCGAATTCTAAATTTTATTCTTACAGGCACCATTTCATTGTTGGACTACATAGTTAATTACCGACTTGGGATAAAGTTTTCAATGGTGATTCCTGAATCAAGGGAGGGGGCACGCACGTACATTTTAAATGCTGGTTGATATTGACAATGTGTCATCCAGAAAAGTTATATGAATGAAATATCCATTAAAGGTAGTGGTAAGGGGCCTGAGTGCTGCAACTGGATTACAGTCAGTTGTTAACCAAATGGTTGGTGGTTCGAATCCACCCAGGGGCGTTGCAGAAGACTAGGCCTGGTGATCTGCTTCTGTAAAGATTTCAGTCAAGAAAACCTTTGAAGGAGTTATACTCTGTCATAATACATGGTGTTGCCATGAGTCTGTGGTTGACTCAGTGGCAGCTGATACCAATAGTAACAAAAGGATACTGGTTAAATTGGGAGACAATGGAATATGCCGAGGTGATGTGTAAAACTTTGTAACATGATGTGAAATTTAAAACCCACATTATATATACAGAATATGATTCCTTTGTATTAAGGAAATATGGGATTAGAATGTATACACTTAGATTTTTCACAAGAAACATAGATTCTAACCAGTTTATATACTCTGCTAGTGTAGTGGTTACCAATCAAGCTGTGAACCGCAAGGTCAGCAGTTCGAAACTACCAGCTGTCCCGCAGGAGAAAGATGAGGCTTTCTGCTCCCATAAAGATTCACAGCCTTGGAAACCCTGTACAGGGTCGCTATGGGTCTGAACTCCATGGCACATGATGTGCAACTCCATGGCACATCACCACCACCATATACCTACCAGCAGTATATAAACTAAAACAAAACAAAAACGACCCTATATATAAAATGTCTGAGAATGTAACTCTTTCTGGGAGCAGACAGCCACATCTTTTCTTCTGAGGAATCGCTGGTGCATTATACTTGTGGTTAGTAGCCACAGCACCACCAGGATTCTTTACCAGCAGCAGATTTGTAGTTGTTGTTAAGTGTTGTCTAATCAGTGCGGATTCATAGCAACCCTGTATAGGGTTTCCGAAGAAGGGCTGGTGAGATTTGAACTGCCAACCTTGCGATTCAAACCGACCTTGCGGTTTGAACTGCCAACCTTGCAATTCGAACAGACTTTGTGGTCCAGTACGTTATCCTGCAGTGCCACAGCCTCAGAAACCCTGGGCAGGGTCACTATGAGTCAGAACTGACTCCATGGTGCTTAACGACAACAACAATTACGTATGTTTGTCTTTGTATTGTATTTTTTATTAATGATGTATGAAACTTTTTTCTTCCGTACTCATTCAAATCTTTATTTTTAAGTGCAGAAAGTCCTTGCCTAGCTCAGATTTATATCATTTTCCCTTATATATTATTCTAGTATTTGATTATTTTCTAATAATCGTGTCCTTAATCCATCGATACTTTTTTTGTGTGTGTAGAGTAGGCTGTGAGGTAGGATTTATATTAATTTTTCAATTGCCAGCCAGCTGCTTTGGTGCCATTTATTGAAGAAACAAGCTGTTATTTCAAGGATATATATATATACCTTGTTTGTGTTATGTTATGTTAGAAATCGGTAATATTTCACATCTCAAAAAAGAAGGATTATTGTTACTGTTAGTGCCATTGAATTAGTTTCCACTCACAGCGACCATGTATAGGATTTTGTTGTTGTTGTTGTTAAGTGCCGTCGAGTCGGGTCCGACCCATAGCGACCCTGTACAGGGTTTCCGAGGGTGTAAATCTTTACGGGAGTAGAAAGCCTCATCTTTCTCCCGCGGAGCAGCTGGTAGTTTCGAACCGCTGTCCTTAAGGTTCGCAGCCCGATTCGTAACCACTACGCTACCAGAGCTCCAGGCTTTAAATCATTTTGGAAGCAGAAAAACCTCATCTGTCTTCCTGCTGGTGGGCTCAAGCTGCTGCCCCTGTGGTTCGCAGTCCAGTGTTTATCATAACAGCAGTATAATTTACATGCAATAAAATTCACCCTTTCAGAGTGGACAGTTCGAAGAGTTTGGTCATATGTATGCAATTGTATAACCAACCAAGCCAGTTTTCTGTAAGTGTTTATAAAGGATGACTGTCCAACTGAAACAATTGAAGTGAAAAAAGCATGTCATCGTTTTTTCCTTCTTCAAAAGTTTGTGTTTCTGGTGCTTGCTTCGGCAGCACCTATCCTAAAATTGGAACAATTCAGAGAAGATTAGCATGGCCCTTGTGCAAGGATGACACACAAATTCATGAAGCGTTCCATATATTTTAAATTCACAATAAAATAATTTAAAAATAAAAAAGATTGTGTTTCCAATTTTGGAAAGGTCCAAATTTGTTTATCTCGTGAGACAGCCATTTGATACTGATTAATTATTGGTTTGTTTTATTCGCTGTTCAAATAGATGAAGATTCTCAAGGTTTTTAAAAAACAAAGTCAAACCAAGAAAACATACACTAGTGGTTTCATGCACGCAGACCTAAAAATAAGCATTGGTTGTGAGTAATGAGGGAAACAGACGTATTGTTTAGAGAAGTCATTGTGTGTATGTGTTTTTTCCTTCCTTCTAGCACTGGAAGAAGTATGACATCTATGAAAAGCAAACCAAAGAAGAGACTGATTCTGTAGTGCTGATCGAAAACCTGAAGAGAGGCTCTCAGTAATGGGACTAATTTATTTTTGCCTTCCCTGTGACCTTCTGAAGATTCAGCCCATTCTCCATTTGTCACCCGGGAATTTCCTAAATGGAAACGGAAACTACTGGACCATTTATAAACAGGCAGCTCCTAAGAGCCACGGGTCTTCATATTATGTCGTCCACCAAAAAAAGAAAGAGAATGGGCCCTTTGGGAAGAGAGTGGAGTCCTTGTCATTGAATTATAAAAGCAGACATCCTTTGCAAAGGCTTCAAACCAGGGGAAAAGCAAAAAGTGATGATGGCAGTAGGGCTATTATCAAGCGTTGTGACAACTTCTTGAGGGATCTGTATCTGTTTTGTATTCTTTATGTGAAATAGCACCACCAAATTTGATTTGTTTAGGGAGAACTCATTTGGGGTGGCAAATGCTAATGCCAAACTTGAGCCACAGAGCACATTCAGAAAAAAAAAAAAAAAAAAGTGGTAGCATCCGTTATTTGTTATTTGGGATCCCACTGTGTGATGTTTGTGGTCATAAGACTTCTTTACAGCCCAGAAGTATCATTCATCCCCTTCAGAAACCTTTCCTTCTGCTTTCCAAAGCCCCAGAAATGAGTGTTGGCCAAGATGATGACAGGTACAGACAAAGCAGAGGCAGTCTCTTTACCAAGACCTTTCCAAGCCATGGCAGACTTGTCAGGAACAGTGGAGGCAGAATGAGCCATTGGGTAATTAGGCTTTGAACCATGCAATCTCTAATGAGGCATTGTTTTTCCTCGCCTCAGTTACTCAAATCAAGTATTTGCTATGTCCCTGACTTGAGCTAGATACCCAGGTGTGAGGCATACCCCCCTCAGTGCTTACTCCCTTCTTGAATCATTTCTACGTGTGCATTCTCCCTCGTTCTAGCCTGTCCTTCACCTTCCATTGGAAATTAAGACATAGATCTTCTCAGAACACCTAAAGGGGTGAGGTAACTTGCATCTTAGGTAAAGTGTGAGTAGACAGACAAACATGGACTAACTTGAAGATTTTATCATTTCTAAGGAGCTCTGGTAGCGTAGTGGTTACGAATCGAACTGCGAGCCACAAGTTCAGCAGTTAAAAACTACCAGCTGTTCCGCGGGAGAAAGATGAGGCTTTCTGCTCCCGTAAAGATTTACAGCCTCGGAAACCCTATACAGGGTCGCTATGAGTCGGAACCGACTCCACGGCACATAACAACAACAACAACAACATGTGAGTTCACATTTGTTTGAGGATTTCCACCATTTATTGTTTTTAGAGGTTTTTTCTTTTAATGTTTTCTAAACAAAAATGAGGTATTCTCTTCCCTTAAAACTTGTTTGCTTACGAAAAGAAGAATTATGTAATCTTTTTCTCTTCCTTTAGAAGATAGCCTCTAGGATTCCTCATTTCCCTGACTACCACACGTGGTTCCTGTCTTGTATTGGTAACCAGCTATCCTTAGGACCAGTGTGTGTACTATTTTTTTTTGTTTTGTTTTGTAACATATGTTAGGGTTCCTTATGGAATGCTGGTACATTGTGGCTAAGCATTGGGATGATAATCCTAACTACCAACCACCCCAAGGGAGAAAGATAAGATTATCTGTGCCTGTGAAGATTTAGTCTCAGAAACCCTAACAAGCAGGGTCGCTGTGAGATGGATTTGAGTCAATAGCAGTGGGTTTGGGTTTGGTAGGGTTCCATGCTCACCCATCCCTACAATGGATCCATATATCCATATTGATTTTCTCTACTCCTCCTAATTCCTCCACATTTAAAAAGGTATGGGGAGTGAGTGGTTCCCCCACCCACCCAGTGTTTCTCTCCTTAGACACACAGACTCAGATTGCTGGTAGGAACCTGAGCATGTTATAACATAAGTTCTTGAAGCGTTTACCCATTTGTATTAATAAGATGATGTTACTCGCAAACCCTGCCCATTGGGGAGGGGCAGTCAGACATCCCTGTTCCCGATATGTGTTCACCACAGTGGAGGAGTACTGTGTCCTGGCTCTTCTAAGGCATTTGGGGTTTGTGGCAAATGCTAGTTGTTAAATTACTCCCTTTCTGCTTTTATTTTTGAGGTCAGATTAAGGCTGGGAGACAGATACCATTGAATTGTTCCACTTTGTTGTTGTTATCTAGAAGGAATATTCAGTTATAGAAAAATGAGATTCTTTCCTAGCCAGGTTTTTTGTTCTTTGTTTATTCTGGGAGCCTAAGACACCTAAATGCCTCACCCAAAGTCATTTTTCCTGTTGTCCTATTTAGATGGCATTGGAGAGGTAGGGATGTTTTGAAAATATGATTACCCAGGGAACTACTGATGCTGACAGTTATAAAGCCTGGGAGTAGGGAAATTGTGTTTTGTGTCCATCTTCCTGTAGTTGAGGGGAGCCATGGGGGTTGAGGGGGAATGCCTGTAGCTATTTTATAATTGCTGGAAAGTGATCCCCAAGTGCTAGGAATTCTTGGAGACTTCAACACCTAAGTGGAATTCCCATCTCTAGTAGGAAACTAGTTGATTTAGTTACTATTTTATGCCTAACCTATATGGATTTTTTTTTCTCCGCATGCCTAAGTAAACCCACTGTACAGATTGTCATTCCTTCATTCAAATAAGTTTTTCTTCATCTGGGCACTGAAGGGGTACGTGAAACCCTCTTAGGAACATTTTTGGTAATGTCTTCAACTAGGGCTAATTTTTGTTTAACTTTGTATATGAAAGCTTGAGTAAAATAAATATGAAATGTCTTTTTGTATGCCACCCAAATGTTTTCCTTTGGTCTCATTTTGGAGAAGGTGCTGTGTTGTGAGGTCTGGGTGACAGAGAAAATTGGAGTAGAGCGAATACAATGGAAACACACCTCCAAGATAGTGATTTTTTATCTTATCATTTATTATAAACTCCTCCGCTGTTCTGGGTTTGTCAGTGTTTTCTGATAAGACCATGCATTTAGTTTAATAGTAGAACAGCCTTTGCAGTCAGCGCCCGAAGAATATAAGTGGTCGATAAATTGTGGTCAGAATAATGAAGGGAAAGGAGAACTGGTCATTTCTAATTTTCAGCTTAAAATCAAGTACAGCGTCCTTAAGAGAAACGTGAGACGGGACCTGCGATGACAAGTTAATATTAGCAGATTTGATTTTGAGACTTAAGGAAATAAGCTTTCGGAGGCTGCCCTTTTAAGAATTAGTGAGGTACTTTCATATTTCCTACAAATACAGCAAAATGGTTTGACTGTCACGAAGGGATTTCCCTCTTATTTGTGTTAAGTGTACATCTTGACTCAGACCATATATGTTAATCACTTCGATTTTGGCCAAGTTCTTTCTGTAACTATTTAGAATTGTCTACTTAGACTCTGGAAATCCATCTCCAGGTAATTATGGTATTATATATATTTTTTTAAATAAAAAATCTTCTGATTCTTAACACTTAAACTCAGACTATTAAGACAGAGAACATTAACTGAGGACCCTTGGGATTTTTTTATCTCTATGGGATCTATGAAAAACAAATTCCTGTGGCCAAACGCATGTGCATCTCATCCCGGTGGGAGTGGAATCCAATCTAAACACATTTGTTCTCCACAGTCGGTGACCATTTTGTTGTTTCCATGAACTCACGTAAATATTATGCTACCAGAATGTTAGCAATTTTAGAAGAAATCAAGGGAACACAAGAACATTTCTTTGAGAAGCGGTTTTTAAACACTAATGATTAGGTCAAGCAATCATATTTCCTACAAATACTGTAGCTAGATCTTGGTATGTTTTTACTTTAAGCAAGGGAGGAATTTTACTGATATTTGGATTATACTATGGTTTTTTTTTTCAATATCAGTCCCCAAGATGATTTCTTCCTGAAGGTTCTTTGGCCTTCAACGGTCTTTCCGAATGGTCACATTTTAAGTTCACCATTAGCAATAGAAAAATATTTTACTATTTTCTTACAACACTTATTAGATAGACTTGTATATAAAAAGAGAAAATTAATAGTTGAATGACTGGTATGTGCTAAGTTGCATGTGTTATTTTCCTTAATCTCCATGTCAATCCTATAAGATTGTTGTTGTTGTTGCTAAAGCGCCATCGAGTTGATTCCAACTCATAGTGACCCTGTATAGCGTTTCCAAGGAGCATCTGGTGGGTTTGAACCACTGACCTTGTGGTTCACAGTCCAGTGTTGATCTTATAGCATCACACCAGGAATCCCTCATTATTAGTAGTAGTACAGATGAAGAAACTGAAACGTAAAAATGAGTGATCACGGGAAACGAACCAGTCTGCCTTTAAAACCTGTATAATATAGCCAGTGATGTATTTATTTGTCCTAATGAGACTGGTGTCACTCTGTAGGCTAAACACTTCGCTGATAACCACAAGATTAGTAGTTTAAACCCACCAGCTGCTCTGTGGGAGAGAGATGAGACTTTTTGCTCCTGTAAAGATTTGCAGCCTTGGAAACCCCTATATTGGGTTGTGATGCATCAAAATGGACTCAGTGGCAGTGGGGTTTTATTTTGTTTCGCTTGTGTAAAGAGGCAGGGACGTAAAGAAGAAACATCTTATATCATATTATTGCCAAATTATCAGCTAGAAGCTGTGCACAAATTTAAATTATTTAATTACGAATTTCAATGTGAGTGCTTTGTTTTTTACAGAATCTTGGGGTTCATTTGGACATTTATTTACCTATGTACCAGGCAGTATTGTAGGTACTAGGGATCTAGAAGAGAATAAGATTTGGTTTAGTATGAGGTGATTCGTCAAAAGGAGGCTGCTTTGTACAGGGGGAAGAAATTACCATTAGAATTTAGGAGTTCCAAATGACCTTGGTCAGGTTTCTCTCCAGTCTGGGCCCGTTTCCAATGTGTACAATGAAGATGTTAGATTTTAGCAATTTTTAATCCCATCTATGGCTCATAACATTGATAATAACTTGGGGATTTCATTTTGAAGTGAGACTCTTTTTTGAAAACACCAGTTCGATGACTTTGAATAGGTGCTTGTC